GAGATGTTTCATTTCTATTAATGGGATAACTCCTGCTTTAAATAATCAAAATCTTTGATAGGACAATAGAAATGCTGAACCTTCTGCACACAGCACGAAGCTTAAACAAAGCTTACATCATGCGTTCTTGTTACAAATTGCAAGATTTTTTTCTTTTTTGAACAACATGCGATTGACTCGGCTCGGCTGTGATTCAACACCTTCTGGACTGCGTCATATTAAATAAGAACTGGTGGTGGTTTTAACTAAGCAGCCAGTAAGTCGGTCATTACAAAGCTATGCCGTGCAACAAAATATTGTCTAAACCCACAGGACTTTATTTTGACATCAAGCACAGAGTCGAACGCTCACCAAAGACACTTAATATGTCTGAGCGTATTTTAGAGGGCATGTGTCTAAAATCAGGCCCAATAAATCTTTTATGATTTAATTTGATGAGATGGTGACGATGCACAACAAAGAAACCGGAACAGCTGAAGGTTCTTCCAGAATTAAAACAGCACTATTAAATCGGCTGAAAAAGAAATGCATGACATGTTTCCAGGGTTTGTCTCTCCTCATCCCCAAGATATTCAGTTTACACAAACAGAGAGAGAGAGCATGTTAACCTAAAACTAGATCAATCCATCTATCTTCTTTTGTTTATCCAAATCAGGGAGAGGGCTTCAGCCTCTCCAAGCTATCATAGGGCAAGAGGTGAGGTACACCATGGAAAAGACCCCAGTTTTGTACTGCAGAGATAACACACAGAGACAGATATCTACGGATGCTCACATTCACACCAAGAGCCAATTTAGAATCACCAGCATGTCTTTGGACTGTGGGAGGAAGCTGGGGAGAAAGCATACTGCTACAGGGAGAGCATGCAAACTCCACCCAGAAAGGCTCAGGACACTTCTTGCTATGAGTCAGCAGTGCTAACCACTGCACTGTGCAGGCTGAATTTCATATTTCAGTACCACTTCTCTCAATTTTAATGCAAAAAGCTATGGTTTCAAATCCTCAAACGTGAGAATCATACCTGTTTCTACGTTCCATGACGAACCAAATATCTTCTGATTTTGGAAAGAATTCTAAAATGTCACATCATGCTTTTGTCTACAAGACATTTACTCACTAAACTAATAAATAAATAACGCTTTTCTCATCGTTTCAGGTCTAGGCCTCTAACTCTTGCTCCAGTATCAATGAAGCACCCAAGTTTATGGTATGCAGCCAAACCCACTGCAAGCAATTGAATGCAGTTGAATGACTTTCAACTCTTTTGGAACAAACACACATTAGATCCAGGCCATCAGCCTCACTAAGTCTAACTCTATCTGTGCAATCATTTCAGATCGCTGTGCCCAAATGTTTTCATTTTCTTTGACCTAAAATACAACAATGTGTAGTCAAAGGCACGTGCAGCCACCTTCACTCATCTGATTAACTAGGAACTACTCTGATCATCAATGAACTGTTCAAGAAGCAGAGATGGTGAACGATCTTTATCTGGAGCTTTCCAGATGGGAGGATTTCCTGTCGATCTGTGACACCCGGCAGGACAGAACTTTGCTTTAGGATTTTGGGGAAGAGGATTTCTGATCTTTAGAGCCAAACGCTGAGAGAGATCTTTATCAGTCAGTGCCTTAGATCTTGTGGCTTGTAGCCACAGTCCCTTAAATGCCCTGTCATCCAACTGAAGGCACTGGTGTCGGTGTGCCATGACTGATGAGGAAGCTGACTGTGCTGATGATTCACAACTGAGACACGGGCAAGAGCAAGGAGGTTATACTTTCCTAAACATTGCACTGCTTGTATCTGCAGCCAGGACACTTCCTGTCACAAAGGAAAATTTCAGGTTTGAGCTTATATGAAAGAAGAGGATAAAACAAACAGTGTGTGTGGTGGAGCACACCCTAAGCTCACTGTGTGTACACAAAAGTGCACCAGAAAAGAGTAATAAACCTCTCCTTTCCCCTCTGCTTATGATAAGGTATGCAGCAGGAGTTGCGAAATCCTGTCGCTGCAGGCTTTACAGATAGTCTCCTGTTGTTGTCTTACTTAGCCAAGGCCAGCTACTGAAAAACAACCGTGTGCTACAGTGAGTGTCGACGAAAACAATTAAGAGGGCACCGCACTTAAAGAAACAGTGAAAAGGCGGAACGCTGTCCTTTAAGGACTTATCCCAGAAGGCTCCTCCGCTTCTTCTGAGCCAGCTGTCAACTTACCCAGAGCTGTGTTCCCCAGTCCATGTCGCCAAAAAAGTTCAGATGCGAGAAGATTCGCAGAGCAGGACTCTTCGGTGTGTTAAAGCAAAGGCAAAAAGCGATCAGGCAGAGATTGTTTTTTAATTATTAGTATGTTCTTTAAAGTAAAACTCTTCTCGGAACAAAAAAATCACAAAACTTTGAGGCACGAAAGCGGAGATGGTGGAGGAAATGTTTGAAGGAAGTCTACGCCTTCTCCTTGGCACGGACGCGACTGTCCTGTTTCTTCCAGCAGGCAGAGAGCGCAAAAAAAAAAAAAAAGTGTTCCTGAAACAACTCTGGGTCCGAGAGAGAGGGAGGAGGAGGAGGAAGCGGCCTTTCTGTTTGTTTTATCTTAAAGAAGCAGCTTGAGGTTGTTGTTGTTTTTTTCATAATAAAAGCTGGTCTTGGGCTCCAAACTTTAACCCAATGATGTATCCAGTGCTCCTCAGATAACCCACAACATTACACATAAGATTAAACCAAATAAACTAAATCATTAACTTTTCCCCCACAGCACTAATAGAGGAAGTAAGAACATTCTTTAAGCTACTTAAGACTTTTTTTTTTAACCCTCGTTGTAACATAAAACAGTAGGTTCCTTCTGGGGCCTTTTTTCGTGTTTAAAAAGTATAAAAGTTTTTTAATGGCCAGCAGGGGGCGATCTCAAGGAGCGCCCTTGTATAGCCCATTTAGGGAAAAAAATTCTATAGCTGTGTTGTTCTATGACATCAGTGCACACGTTCCAGATGATAACATGGTGTTAATTTTGTAAATTATAGTCAAAATTAAAGCAAAACAGATGATATAGCAGTCTAAACCTGTGACTTCTGGTTTTAAAAAAAAGAGTCACTTCACTAACTGGTGGGCAGTGTCACTCGGGCTCTTCTTTTTATACCGCTGCAAAAGTCTTTAGACATCCCTCTATGTTTTGCTATGAAAACGCAAAATAGGTGCAGTGATTTACCGAAATATGTAAATGAACATGGAAATACACCATATAAGGCACAAACAGAGTTTGTGCAATTCTAATGAGCTTCAGAGTCAATATCTAGTATGACCACCTTTATTCTTCAACACACCCTGAACTCTTCCTGACATACATGACTGATAGTGTTACCACCAGGTATGCTTTCACTGCATTGGCAGTCAGTTTGGGACCATTGTCATGATCAAAGTGAAGCATTTGCCATTCAGATGCTTTCTAAATAATATTGCTTAATAGACCAAAACCTGACGGTACTTTTCTGAGTTCATAATTCCATCAATTTTGGAGATCTCTCTAATACCACAGGCTGAAATTTCGCCCTAAACCATGACAGAGCGTCCACCATGTTTAACAGATGTCTACCTCTCTCCCAAACTTCCCCGTACATTCTGCGACCGTTTGTCCCCAAAATTTTTAACTTTGATTTGTAACTCCATAGGGCAATTTACACTTGGGAATATTAATAAATATTGCTAATATAATATTTAATATCTGTCTAACTGGGTTATCTTTGGCAGATTCAACTAAAAATTGGGAACATATAATGTGCTTTGTGAGAGGCCGCTACTAATAGTAAGTAAATGAAAATGGTCAAGTACAAGATATGG